GGATACAAGACCACCAAACACTAAAATGACAGCCCCTACCCTGCCTCCATCTGAAACACATCTCATACCCGTGCTTTTCACAGTGTACCCACAGGCACGCCCCCATCCGAGGCCTCCTCTGCTTTCTTATCCTGTGGTGGGTGTTCACCCTGGGCTCCCCAAGGCTAGGCCAGGAGTACAACTTCCTCTCATGACCCTTGTACAGCCATGCCTCCCCAAGCATCCACGCTATCAGTGGCATTAGTGGCTCTTGAACAAGCACAAAGACAGTCAGAGGCCAGGACTAAGTTTCTGGCTCTTTCGGTGCTTAGGATGTGACATTAATGACCACTGGATTCCCGAACTTAGAGCTGCTCCAACCCTGAACCCTGAAGAGAGGCAGGCCTTAGGCCTCCAAAATTCACATCATATCACGTTGGCATCTGCTTATGTGCGAGACTTCCACAAACCAAAAGAGCTAATGAGGGTGAAACACACGCACATGCACACGCACACATGTAGAACTCTTGTGCCATCCCTTTGGTTCCGCTCATATTCTTATGATCAATAGCTTACGTTCTCATTCCCAAGGCACCCAACCAGATGGGAATGAACTTTCCCCTGAAAACAACAAACCTTTCCTTAACCCAACAGCCTGCAAGACAATCCGCCCTTCCCCGTTGTACCTGCTTCCAGGGTACACTGGGTTTTTAAGGAGCAGGGAATCTGAGATGATGTGGCTCTCCCCTTCTCAGCCCCCTCAGCAACATGGAGATGTGGATGTCTATCCCACCTGAATGAGGGCTTTCGTGAAGGACGAGCCTAGTGCATCATGTCACCTAGCATTGCCTTATATCTGGGAGCCCTTACTAATTTCAACAGCCAGCCATTCACAGTAAAACTGGGGTGATGACTAATGTTAAGAAATATCAAGCCCGACAATTCCCACTCAGTAAGATCACAGATTTGCACATTTTAGCTCCTTCCAAATCTGGGTCTGAATCACCATAGATTAATATTTATTTCCCCTTCAACATCCAAGTGAACAGTTATTAATACAGACATCCGCCTGCCTTTCGAAAGCACCAAAGAGTTGGTTTTTTTCCAAATTTACCCACACTATGAATTATCAAAGAGGCAAAGGACAGGGTAATTATCTCAACAGATGAAGTCACTGAGAAGCGAAGAGATGCACTCTCTTTTGCCTAGAAATGTAAAAGTAAAGCTAGGAACAGAAAACAACAAAATTAGTAGCTTTCAGCAAGCTTTAATGTGTCTAGATTTATAAAATGTTATTGGAAAATAAAGATGATGTAGACCTCAACAGTGTCAGCTCCCTCCTCTGATCCAACAAGCCTACTAAGTGCAAAGAGAAGCTCTTTCCCCAAAGAAGTTTCTCTTCCTAGTGGGGTTAGTTTCTGCAGCAGCAATCTGTATTTCAACACAACCACATGATAGTCTGAGTCAGGAGCAGGTACGATAACTCAGGGTGTTAACAAAGTCTTCTAGGAGGAGGCGGCAGCAATGGGATTGATGAGGGAAGGAGCTCATGGCTCCAGGCTGGAAGGAGACCAGCAAGGACAGGGCACAGCATCTGTGCGGGGCGGGAACAGGTCCTCAGCCTGTGGAGGAGGGCTGGTACCCACCTGAGGCGTTTGCATTTCATCCTAGAGGCAATAGGCAGCTACCAAAGATTCTCGAGCAGGGAAGTGGCACGGCCAGATCTGCGCAGCGGCAAGATTACTTTAGCAGCTATGTTAAAGAGGGGATGCAGAAGAGAGACTGGAATCAGTCATCCAGTTGGGAGCTGACTACGCATTGCATGGGAAGAGTGAAGGCCTGAATTAGGTAGGGGCTGTGAGTACAGAGAAAAGCCACTGGGGGTGCAGGGGAGAGAGTGCCATAGTGCACAGAATGCTAGGTTCGAATCCTACCTCAGACACGTAGAGCTATGATCCTGGGCAAGTCCCTTCACCTCAATTTCCACATGTCTACGGTTCCTAACAACTCTAAATCCATGACCCCACAGTCCCACAAGAGGATGAATCTGAGAGAGATTGCAGAAGCAGAAATAATAAGAATCAGCTTCCTGGACAAGAGAGAGGGCAAAAAAAAAAATCAAAGCTGACACTCACGTAGCAAACTTGGATAAATGGAAGGAGGATGGCGTCCTTAAGAGAAATATCAGTTTGAAGGAAAGCTGGGCTTAGGGGGAGGATGTTGGAGATAGAGAACAGGAGCTCAGCAGACACAAGGGCTCCATATGCAGATCCGGGAGTCATCAGCCTAGAGATAACTGAACCCATGGCAACAGATGAGCTCACCAAGGGGGGAGGGGAGGGGGGCAGAGACAGAAAAGGCCTGGGCAGAGCTCTGGGGGCTACCTGGGGCTTAGGAGTGGAGCAAGAATGATGATCCAGTAAAGGAGAGGGAAGTCAAACTGGTAGCAGAGAACCAGAAGAAAGCGGCACCATGAAAGCCTGGTATGGAGAGAGAAACCAGGAGGACAGGGTGGTGGACAGATCTGGATGTTACAGAGGTCAGCAAGAGAGACCGAGAAGAGCCTGAGAGATTTCAGATTTAGACTCTAAAAGACAGTTGGCAACCTCAGAGAAACAGCTTCCATCAAGGAATGATATCTAGTCCAGGAGGAGCTGAGACGTGTGAGAAGGGAGACAGCCCAAATGCTCATTTATTTTGCTTAAGAGGACTTTTTATGTTACACAGATGAATTGGGAGGGGGTGGGAAGGGCAGGGCATTGGACAGTGAAAGTGGTATAAAAAAAGTTTTATTTACAGCTTGAAAAAAATTGAGTAAAAAAAGGGGGTGGGAGAAGTTGAGGCAGTGAGAAGAGACAACAAGAGAGAGCAGAAGGAGGCCTCCGTTCAAATCCTGCTGCTAACATTTACTCTATCTGTGCCCCTGGGAAAGTCCTGTGCCTCATTTTCTTCAAGTGTAAAGTGCGGGTAAGAACACTGGCAACAGCTACTCCGTGGCCTCGGGGAGACTCCGATGAGGCGATGCCCATGAAAACCTTTGCAAAAGTTAGACAAGGAAGCGAAGGCTCATAGAGAACCTTTCTTAATACCCAGTGACTTGAAGGAAGCCCAGAATGACCCTGTGATCAGAGGCGCAGATGAAGAAAAGAGGGGACGTGTAGCAGGCTCAGCAGACGGCAGAGCCCCAACACCCCCAAATTCAAGGCTACACCCAGGGGCCACACAGACCACAATCCACGGCAATGAGGATTAACGCAAAGTCCAGCATTTCAATTACAAAAGTCAAAGGCGCAAGGATAAGATGGGAGGGGGGAGGCAGGACAATTTGTCACAGACCAGATGACTGGGTAACAGACTAAACCCTCAGTCTGATTCATGAGTCTGACATGGCAGGAAAAAAGCTTGCCCAATAGAAGGCGGCATGAATAGGACACAGGGCTGAGAAGAAAGCAGGTGACCGCAGCCCCAGTGCGTCTATCTGAAGTGCTGGGTTTGATTCTGGGGACGACGTCTAGAAGGACACCGATGAGCTTCTGCATCCCGAGACAGGCTGGTGAGATGATGGGGGAGGGGACAGGGGACAATGCTAGAGGAGGACCAGCTGGAAGAAATGGGGATATGTGGTCTGGAGATGAGGAGCCAGGGACCCTGGCAGCAAGCCTCAAGGACACAAAGGGCTGTCACACGGAAGAGGAATTAGCCTCGTCTTGTTTGACTTAGTGGGTCAACAAGCCTTTAGGAAGCACCTACTATGTGCCAGGCACTAGGCTAAGTGCTGGGGAAACAAAGAAAGGCAAAGACAGCCCCTGCCCTCGAGGAGCTCAGTCTGAAGGGGGAGACAACATGCAAACAACCAGAGGGTCAACTGATCCACTGAGCGTGGTGTCCGAGGGGTGAGGTGGGACCGAGCACCGAGGGGCTGGGGGCAGGGGAGGCTCCTGCAAAAGGAGGCCTGTGGGCAAAGCCAGAAGCAGTGGGGAGAAGCCATCAGAGGCAGGCCTCCTAAGGATCAAAGAGGGCGGCTTGTACTGGGAGGCCGTCCCAGGGGGTGCCCAGCTAAAATACGTCTCTTCCCATCCTGATTTGGGCATTCTATGGTCACAGAAGGCAGTGTGATCTAGGGGCAGAGCAGGGACCAGACAGCCCCAAGTCTCCTGAGGGCCAGCCCAGCACTCTCCCCAGGATAGGGAACTCCCTTTTCTTTAAGGCACCCAGAGTGAGTCATTTCCAGCACTGAAGACATTCCTCCTGAACCAGTTATGAGCGCCCTCCAGAAGAGCTCCCAGGCTCAAAGCTGCCCACCTCAGGAGCCCAGTGATCTTTTCAGAGTAGCTTTCACAGCAGAGAAGGGCCAACCTGCCACCACCTCACGGGAGGGTCGGAGACACCCGGGTTCTACTTTCTCATATGTCCTCAGCAAGTGCCGCACCACAAACCACAAAGGGAAGGGTACAGGAGAGCCCTGCCTCTGAGCTGGTTTCAAAGAGGGTCTTGGCTGTGGGAGATGCAGGCGGCAGTCTTGGAGGGGGCTGGGAAGGGCTCTTCCCCCACAAAAGCAATGGGCAGCTGGCACAGTGGGGGAACAGGAAGAAGAGAGGCCTTTTATCACAGGTTTCCATAGGCACATGTTCAGAAAACCCCCCAGCTGGACATAGCCAGTGGCATTTCTTTCTGTCTAGACTACATTCTGTGCTTTAGAAGCTCGGGCTGCAGGAAATCAGAAATCGTTACCCAGTGCGTGCTCAGCTCTTGGAATGAGAGTCACCTTAATGCTGCTCCAGGGGAAGATGTCTGATTGAGCTCCAGGATTAGAGTATATGGAGAGATTCAGAAAGCCCTGCTCTCCTCTGACTGCCACAAAGGGCTCGCCCACCCCACCCGACTTAGCACTCCGCTGTAAGTGGCCTCATACATAAATAAATACTATAGGTCACCACCTGACACATCCCCTATACCTGGACCCCTGAAAGAAAATGTCATCACACCAAATATCATTGGAACACAGGACCACTGGTACTCACGGCTGGCATTTCTATAGAGAAGAAACGGTTCATGGAGCTGGAATTCCAAATCTTTGTTCACAGGTTCCACGAGGTTCGTCATATTCAGCCGATTCACGATCGTGAAACCGTGGAAAGGTGAAGCTGACCTTAGTTTTAATAGAGGAAAAAAAGCCAAGTGATCCTGGGGCATTGGATTTTTACTCAAATGCAGAAATGCCCACCCCTTTCATTTCCATTCCAATCACTACATGAGCATGCTATGTAGAATCATCTAGCAAGGACTGTCCATTGTACCACAGTGAGACATGTGACGAGGACAGGCTTTACTTTCCAAAAGGGATTCTCATCAACCCAGTCCTATGGCCTGAGGCCCTACACTGGCACAGGGTCACAGAGCAACGAAAGTCCCTCAGCCGGGTCCCAAGGCAGATCCATCTTCTGCCAAACTTGGCATTACCACAACCAATGGTAATAATAATAATAATAATACCCTGAGGCTTGTAATAAAGCACTTCTTCACATGGAGTAGAGATGATTAAGATGATTAGATTGTGCCTGAAGTGATGAGCTTTCGAAGGACTAAGTAGGAAAGTGAGCCTGAGATGGAAACATTCTAGACGGGAGTCCCTAAGTCCCCAGTGTGTGCCCTGGCTGCTCCAGTGTGCCACAAGCACTACAGTTAAACAGTGACTTTAAAGTCAAATGTCAAGACCTCTTGGGGGCTGGGGTTCTTTGCAGCCACATTCAAGCTTCTGGGGAAAAGCCAACATTTCTGATTTTGCCAGAGAAAGCTAGGCTCAACATCCCCTGAAGGCACCACCGATACAGATCATTCAGGATAACCTAAGGCAGGTGACCCCCAACTTGGGAAATACACAGGTGGGGAAGAAACCTGTATTTACTCCCAGGAGTAACCTGAATCAAAAGAAGACAAGAGCAGCCAAATCTCTTTTACATCAGATATACTGACTCAACGATTCCAAAGAGGCCTTCTGAACGAATATGTAGAAAAAAGAAGTCAGCCTTCCAGAAGACTGTGACAGTCCTTTATGTTCACTGATCTGTGCACTTCAGAACATGCCAAAATAATGACGTTTTCCAACGCTAATTCTGTAACACTGAAATTAGCAGGGCCACCTTGGGGCTTTGGTGGACCCACATATTCTGGTTTAGTATTTTTCCTTTATGATACAGCACAGGACAGAATAAAGGCAGCAAACAGGGGAGGAACCAAAAGGAGGAACACCTTAATACCTTCCCAGAGTAAAGTCATTCACAGTCACCACTCTTAAATTAAAAAACAAACAAAAACTTGAGGTTTGGCATTTTAAAAATCTTACCTTCTGTATACAAATAAGGTCCCTTCTATGTCAGTTTTCTCCTGCAATAAAGACCATTAAAAAGACAGTTATAATCAATTCATTTTACTTATATAACCTCCCTTCAAGTAACCAGCTTGTCATTCTACTAATGGAATAGTAATATTGGAAAATCAATGTCAAAATGTCCTAGAGACCTTCACGGCTCTCTAAGGCATTGGTTTTCTTTTTAAAGAGAGAAAACTTGCATTACAGGCTATTTTATTCATTATCAGATAAGAGTTTTAAGCCAGATTCCCTGGTTTGTAGTGGTTGTTTTAGTTCTGCTCCTGGAGTGTCTTCCCCTTTCAATGTTCACCAGACTTGGCAGGAATAAGGGAAAGTTGGCTTCTATACTGGTGATCATTTCTTTTGTTTGGGGAGTTTTGCTCAAAACAAACAACTAGTGGCAAACATTTTATTTCTACTTGTAATTTCTAGTTGTGATAAACACATCAAGATGTATTTTTAAAAAACAAAAACATTAATACATTTTCAATCCATATGATGTGCTAAGAACACTGGAATTGTAAATCCAGCCTCAGGCACTTATCTACCCAATCCTCCCAGGACCTCAGTTTCTTCATCTGTAAAACTAGATAACAAGACTAAAGGACTTAAGCCAGAGGGAACCCCAGATCTCCTGATTTTACAGAGAAAACAGCAGGAGGCGGAGGACCTGTCCATCCTGAGTCCTGGGCCTCAGAACAGGGCCCACTCAGGCCACATCTAGCCAGATCTCAGCTGTGCCACACCACTATTGGGCTGTGTAAGGTTTTTTCAGGAAAACACTCTGCAAACTTTTGGATTTTTAGGGGATCTCCTTGATTTGTTATAGGTATACACATGTGAACCGAATTCTAATGATTTGTTTAGGGATTTGGCCTTTTTTCATTTTCCTTCTTTAGGCCAGAAATCCTTAAAAATTTTCAGTCGAGATAAGAAAAAACAGAATAGTAAGAATCATCTCCTTAAATTTTCCCCAGTGGAAACATGCTACTTTTTCCCAGCAGGCCCTCCCTGACCTCAGGCTCTCCATACTCTCCCAGACAATCAGCTCTTCTTTTTGGCATCTCTAAGCCACTAGGCCTTCATCACCCTTCACCGGTACCAAGCTGCTTCTCTGCCCTTTGGGAAGTGTTCTCCAAATCATTCGATGCCTCCTAGCCATAGAGTCAGGAAAACTCTTTCTGAGCTCAAATCTGGCTTCAGATACTTACTAGCTGTGTGGCCTTGAGCAAGTTACTTAACCCCATTTGCCTCAGTTTCCTCATCTGTAAAGTAAGCTGGAGGGGAAATGACAAATCACTCCAGCATCTTTGCCAAGAAAACCCCAAATGGAGTCACAAAGAGTACGACATGACTGAACCACCGAACAACAACCACGTCATGGAGAACCATCAGAAATTCCGAAAAGCAGCGGGAATTGGTAAATGCCCCAAGCCAGCTCATCATTTAGACTTCTTCACATTCTAAGCAACTTCCCCATTTACATTTTCCAGTCCCAGGCATCTAAGGAAAGAAAAGTGAGGGGGGAACTAGCCAGCCACAGAGAGCCACAGGACACCTTCACTCGGTATCTGAGCTTGGCCCTTGTTTATTTGCACAAAGTTTAGTAATTAGAGATACCAGAACTTGTGTGCACTAGGAAAGAATCCTTGCCACCACAAGCAACATAGTCAACCCTGTGTCACCCCAGCCCTGCAGCAGAGGAGAGGAGACATACTTATCAACAGAGGAATACTGTATACTCCAGGAAAACATGCCTCGAAGAAACAAAGGAGACAACCAAGTGGAATGAGGGTTTAAAACAAAGAATACTGGTAAAAATCCTGCTACAGTGTGTTATCTCATGATACATTATATAGCCTCCCATCACTTTGTTAGGGCGATACAAGGACTTGACAAAGTGTCTGTTACATTACTGATACAATCAGCTGAGTAGAAACTCACAAGTTTGAAGGGCTGGCTTGAACCTTTAAAAACTACTCACAGTTCTGGGGGACGGAAGAACAGAAAATTGATTCTTAAAAAATTCTTTATTGTTTGTCTTTTAATTTTTTCAATTAACAAAGTTGATTTTCTCTCCCTCCTCCATTCCCAATAAAAAAAAAGAGAAGAAAACAAAGTCCTAGTAAAATAATATGCCTAGGGGGTCAAGCAGAACAGATGGTTCCCGGCTCAGAACAAAGGAGTTGAGTGGTCCCAGCCTTTAAGAACATCATGGTCACCATATTGCCAGGGGGAACACAGGCCTGTGGGCTTTTTCATCTAAGCACCTCAGGGTGTCCAGACAATATTCTGGGACCTGGTTCTCACCCTCTTTCATGCCCTCTGGGCCACTTTGGGCCAAAAGGACCTTGGAAACCATGAGTCTTCACAGATTTAATGCCCTCTGATGAGTTTGTGAAGCAGGGGGCAGGGCCCAGAAGACCAGGGCTCTAGATTGATCAATCAACCAGCATTTGTGAAGGCCTGCTCTGTGCCAGGCACTATGCTAAAGAGTGAGGATATAAAGAGGCAAATGACAGTCCCTGCCCTCAAGGAGCTTCTAATCTGATGAACTCTAGTTCTATTATTTACTAGGCCAGGAACGTCAGGGAAAAGACTTAACCTCTCTGAGAGGAAGCATTTTCCTTTCTTGTGAAATGGGGAGAGAGTACTGGAGTTGGAGTCAAACCAGGGTTCAAGTCCTGCCTCAGATGCTTCCTTGGCAAGCATGGGTGAGTCAGTCTGAAGAGCCTCTAAAGACTGAGCTAATCTAAGTGTCAGATGACCTGGAAATCACAGATTCTAAACCTGCGGACAAAAAGGTGGGACCCCAGGGGCACGATCTAGATCTGGGAGGCCCAGAGGTTAAGGTGCCTCTTGGAGGGATCAAGAGCTCTGTGATCCTCCACTGTGGCTGGTGGGTCCCACAGCTGCAAAGGTGAGCACACAGGTCATCCATGGGTCATCCATCGCGATACTGAGGGTATTGAACGGCCTGCCACCCAAGGGGCATCTTTCAACCCAGTCACCCACGTTTCCAACAAACTCGACGAACCAAAGCCATTCAAAGAGCGATGGAGACCAGAAAGGGTCCTTGGCTTTGAACTCCAGCCCTCCCACCACTCCCCCACATGGAGGAGGCCCCCAAACTCCTCTACAAGCGTCCATCCCAACCCAGGACACCTTTTAGTTACAGGAGGACGGAGGCCATCTGGTCAGGCCCCCTCATTTTAGAGATGGGGAAACTGAGGCACAGAGAGAGGAAAGCGCTAGACCTATGCTCCTACGCAATGACTTGTCCTAGGTCACCGAAGTCGTTTTGGATTGAGTCAGGATTTGAACCCTGGTCCCCCCATCCCAATCCCCCTTTAAGAAGGCTTTCCATAGCAGGCTTGTATACTGTTGTTTGCTTGTCTTTGCAACTCCAGCGCCTGGCATACAGCAGGCGCTCATACGCGCTTGTTCTATGAGTGAGCAGCATTTATGTGGCGCCTACTGTGTGCGCCAGGGGCTGTGCTAAGCGCTGGACGGCCATGATGTCCTCTTACAGGGGAGGAAACTGAGGCCCAGACATGTGACATGACTTGGAATCACAGGGCCCTAGCATCTGACAGATGAGGAAACTGTAGCCCAGATTGGGAAGGGCAGGTTCCGGCGCGGGTCCCCCTGCTAGCAGGGGCCAGAGGAGGGATTCGAACCCAGGTCTGACTCAGAGAGCTCGCGGCCCCAGCCGGCGGCTAAGCCCGGGCCTCAGTCTCCCCGTCCGCGGAATGGGCGCAGCGGCCACGGCGGCAGGCCGGAGGGCGGCACTCACCCATTGGTTGGCCTCGGGGCTGAAGGTGTAAAGCGCGACCTGGCCCGTGAGGTCGGCGATGCTGGTGATGTAGGGGTCGTGGCGCCGCAGCGCCGCCAGGCTCATCTCGGCCCCGGCTCGGCTCACCGCCTCCATTTTGGCCGCCCCCCCCACAGCCAGCGGCCCGGCACCGGAAATGGAGGGGCGGGACCGCCCATCCAAACCTCCGGCGCCGTGGCACTGACGCAAGCGCCGCCGCGCAGGCGCGCTCTCCGTCTTCGACGCCGCTGACGCCGTCGCGGAGTCCGGGCAGCGCCCGACACCTCCGAGGAAGAGGTCCAGCCTCTTCCTGTCCCGCCCTCCGGCGCCGGATCCTGCGTAGCGAGCGCGCGCGGCGAGCACGAGCCCGTCAGCCAAGCACGCGCCGTCCAGGTCGTATCTGACGCATGTCAGTTGGAACCCAAGCCCGTCTGTGTGGGCGCAGCCTTGGAGTGTGAGCTCTTGGAGGGCAGGGCGGCCCTCTGCTGTGATAATAATGATGGAACGGGAACTTAATGCAATGATGTAATGATAACGCGGGCCCAGTAGGCGCCTAATGAGAACGATAAGAATGATAAGGACAGCCGGGCAGGAGGCCGCTAGGGGGCGCCATGTTGCCCAGAACACGGGCCTGGACTCGGGAAGACTGAGCCTCTGGAGCTCAAGTCGAACCCAGACGCTTTCTAGCCGTGCGACCCTAGGCAAGTCACTTCACGCTGTTTGCCTCAGTTTCCCCATCTGTAAAATGAGCTGGAGGAGGAAATGGCAGACCACTCCAGTATCTCTGCCAAGAATGGGGACACATGACTGAAGTGACAGCTACAAGTCATAATACTTGCATTGTCTCAGATGAATATTATTCCTGTTACAGTAGTGCTAGTGATACAGTAGCTGCATATAGACATAGTTACATTCTATAGTAATTAACACTAGGTAGCTTTTATAGAAGCATTTTCAGATTTGCAGAGTGCGTTGCATATGGTATCTCGCTTCATCCCCACAACCACCCTGTGGGTTAGGTGCTTTTATTATCCTTTTACAGATGAGGAAATAATACTATTTATCAACATATTATTGTGCAATGATATGATTAATCAATATAAGTATTGTGATGATGATATCAAATGGCATCACTAATATAATAATGAGCAATAACAGCGATAGATGATGATGTCATCAGGATGGCTTGAGAGGCAGTGCGTTATAGTGGACAGAGCCCTAGGCTCAGAACTGAGGGAGCCCTGAAAGCCCCTTTCAGCTCTCGGTAAATGGATCTAAGATTACTTACTGCCCCTGTCAGTGTTCCAGGTCAACTCTCTCAGATGTTATTGCCAAGCTGATGCCAACCCCCTTTGACACATGGAGTTTTCTCATCAGTGAGTTTCCCGTGCAAAGGGAAATGACAGATCCCGTCCTGATCCCCAATAATAGGGATTATGTAGAAAGTCTGGTGTTTCTATGGTGCCAAAGTGCCTTACGTGGATTGTCTCATTAGAGTTTCACAAAAAAACCTGCATTTGCTATTATTATTTCCATTTTACAGATGAGAAAGGCACCTCTGAGACCCTTGAGGGCCCCCCCCAATTTTTGTTTTAAAGATGAGGAAACAGTTTGAGTGACTTGCCCATGCTCCCCAGCTAGTCGGTGTCTGAGGCTGAATTTGTACTCAGGTCCCCCTGACTTCAAGGCTGGCGTCTCTCGCCGGACCACAAATGCTGGTTGAAGTGAATGGAGTGAAGGGCCTGCAAGGAAGCATCGTCAGCTGTAGCCAAGGACTACGCTCCTCATCCTCCTTGCATTTCTTAATTGCTCACTGACTGGTCAGTTCTCCATCACTGAGGAAGACAGAATTCTTGGCCTCGGAGTGCAGCAGCCCCAGCGGGGAGGCACCTCAGCATCCGACCCCTTTATTTTACAGAGGAAGAGTCTGAGACCTGGGGAAATGAAGTGACTTGGCCAAGATTATGTGGCTGGTAAGTCGTAGAGCCAGGATTCAAACTCATGCTCAATGCTCATTTGTTCTGTTGCCTGTGGGCTCTATTGGAGGCATGGGGGATGTTTTAGTAACTTGTTTTGGTAACAGCAAAGAGGCCAGCGAGAGAGAGAGAGAGAGAGAGAGAGAGAGAGAGAGAGAGAGAGAGACAGACAGACAGACAGACAGACAGAGAGAGAGAGAGAGACAGAGAGAGAGAGAGAGAGAGTGTGTGTGTGTGTGTGTGTGTGTGTGTGTGTGTGTGTGTGTGTGTGTCTAGGGGTGAGGTGTAAGAAGACTGAAAAGGCAGACAGCAGGGCTAGGGATTTGAATGGCCAAGGGTTTAGTATTTGGTCCTGCAGGGAACCACTGGGCTTTATTGAGTAAGAGGAAGAAAAAGAGGCCAAAGCAGGGATTGAGGAGAGATTGAGGAGACTTGTCAACAGCTGATCCCACTCTGGACCTCTGAGCAAAAAATTTGGCCTTTTGCCTAAGTGGATCTCACAGAGAAAAGTATTTCCTTGGTATAGGTAGAAACAGGATGGTAGGATTGTAGGTGCCGCAGCTTGCGAGCTGAAGTCACCGGAGTGGCTGATAGCCTTACCTGCGTTCTATAGAGTCGGAGGCCTTTGGATGAGAAGCTTTACGGTATTGAAGAACTGGGTGCTAGCAGTCTTCTCAGCTGGTCTTAGATAAAACCTTCACCTGACTGGGTGAGTCCTTCAGGGTCTTTGTTTTGCTAGCCAGGGAGGGAGGGAATAATCCTTTATGAAATGCTTCCTGTGTGCCCACCAGGGGCTGAGCCCAGGACAGAATCTCAGCTGTTCAGATTAGGGCTTCTGATTTTTCCTCTGGTGCTTTTCTTGCTATACGGCCTCTGGGGAAGTCTTTGCATACTTCTTGCCTTTCCCAAACCAAACCTTAAACCTACTGATTCTAAGGTCCTGGGGCTGAGCCCTAAGATATCCAGGGGAAGAGGTTCAAGGCCCTTCTTCTCTGACCTGTGTTTGGTGACATCTGCTTCTTTACCCCAGAGTCGGAGGTAAGGACTTGGGTATTATGATGGCATTGTTGCTCCTCTTCAGGGAAATTCATTCTGATCCTTTAGATCAGGTGGTCAGTAAGCCTTGTTATTTCAACTTTCACCTGTGGCACCAAGAAGCTGCAGCATATGCTGGGGCCACACCCCGGGAAAACCAACTTGGCAGATGGGCTAAACCATGTGGAGGGTGACAAACAGGCCTCAAACCCACTGGGGATTTAGGGGATGTGTCTATTCCAAGCATGTGAAGATTTCCCCTGGTGGAATGGGCAGATGTGAACAATTTGTTCCAATGGCCATGAAGGCGGCTAAAGCAGTTGCTGTGGAGTGCTTAGAGCTTGGTCAGACACGAAGATGCCAAGGTCACCTACTGCATCCCAGGCCATGCCAGGTGTTCTGACTTTTGTCTTGTCATTGGACTTTGATGATTCAGGAAGAGAGTGAGGCTGACAACTTTGTGCAGTTCTGCCTCACTTAAACCCAATTCACCTGTGAGTCAAGACATTACTCTGTGATGTCATTGATGCATGAACAACATTATATTCCAGGCACTGTGTTAAGCACTGGGGATACAAAGGAAGGCAAAAGCACAGTTTCTACCCTCAAGGAGCTCACAGTCTAATGATGGAGACAATATGCAAATAACTGGCTACAAACTAGAGTTACATAAAGGCTAATTAGAAGGCAATCTTAGAAGAAAATCACTAGCATTGAGGGGCAGAGGACGTGAGAATAGTAAAAGCTAGTGGGAAGGAGAGGGAGGAGGAAGAAAGAGAGAGAGAAAGAGAGGGTGGGGAGAGTGAGAGAGCACTAAATATTTATCTCATTTTATCCTCACAACAACCCTGGAAAGAAGGTATTATTAGCATGATCCCCATTTTATGGATGAGGAAAGTGAGACAAACATCTTGCCCAGGGCCACGCAGCCAAGTAAAGGTCTGAGGTCAGATCTGAACTCAGTTCTTCCTAACTCCAGGGCCAGCTCTCTATCCGTTGCACCATTAGGTTGCCTTCCACCAAAGGTGGAATTTGCGATTTTCCTGATGGATGAGTTGGGGCTGGGTAAAGGATGGGATTGAGGCGTTCCACCTCTAAAACAAGGATCCAAGCAGAGAAATGCCTTAGCCTGTTCTGGGTGTGCTATGTTTCAGGCAGATGTAGCTGGAGCCTGAGATAGCCACATAATTGCTTCAGTTATTCATTTCACTCTGCACACAAACTGACTGATCTTCTCTGGGGGGTTTTGATCCCCTCCCATTGTCATCTTGCTTTCAGGGCTTTGATCTACTTACTTCCTCCTGAAAAGCTATAATCATCGGGGGTTATTTTGTGATGCCTTTAGGGAAAGCTCTCCAAGAAAGCAAATATTCAATAGAAGAATTAAATAATTATGACCTGCCAGCTCTGAATGGCTCCTCTTCCTACCCTCCTCTTTCTTGGTAATAACTAAGTCAATCACTTTATATGCACCTATGGGATACTTGGGCCTCTTTCTCTTTGACTAAATTTGGTTTTTCTCCCACACAGTCTTCTGAAATAATTAAAGTGGTCTCTTTATTTTCTACCTGTTTAAGCAGCTTAAGCAGATCTAGAAGAGTGAAGAACACAGAACTTACTATTGTTGTTATTTACATTTTCTGTAGGGAAATGAGGATGGGTAGAGATCTGCCCCCAAACCTATCTGATTGCTATTGCACAGTTCCGCATTGAAGGTCCTTGCACACACTGGGAATACTTGAGTAGTAAATGCTGATCTTGACTCATGCAGAAATCTAAATGTGACCCCAACACAAAATCTAACCTTTGGAATCCAGGAGCATTTGCGACTCAGGAGTGTGGCAAGTGGGAGGGAGTTGTGTGAGCTGAGGAGAAATTAAGCGAGTTGACTGGGGTCATAGAAATCATATGTGATCAGAAGCAGGAATGGAGCCAGGTCTTCCGAACTCCAAGTCCAGCATTTTGTCTACTTCATCTAAGAAGCTGCCTCTTTTGAAATCCCATGGTGCAATGCTGCAGTGCCATCTCTCCTGCTTATACAGTTTTTTTTTAAATTTATTTGATTTTAGTTTTGAACATTAACTTCCATAAGATTTTGAGTTTAAAATTTTCTGTTCCTCTGTCTCCTCAC